TTTTTTTTTTTTTTTTCCAGTAGAGACGAGGTCTTGCTCTTTTGTCCAGGTTGGTCTTAAAATCCTGGCCTTTAATGATCCTCCCGCCTCGGTCTCCCAAAGTGCTGAGATTACAGGTGTGAGCCACCATACCCGCCTTAATTTACTCTGATTTTTCTTTTCTGTTTAAATTAGAGACATTCTCACTATGTAGCCCAGGCTGGTCTTGAACACTGGGCTCAAGTGATTCTCCCGCCCTGGCTTCCCAAAGTGCTGGAATTACAGGTGTGAGCCACTGTGCCCAGTCTACTCTGGTATTTAACAGTGGCAAAATTCATTTATTTCTCCACTAAATTACTTTCTTTATATTCTCAATTTCAGAAAGGACTTAAGGTACCTGAGGTGCGAACAAAGAATCAGAGACTGGTTTTTCCTCCACCTCTGCCACTAACTAGTTGTGTGACCTGGGGCAAGTGACTTGATCTCCTGTGTCTGTTACCCATTTGTGAGAGCCAATACTGAATAAGCATGCCAGGTGCTGTTCTAGAGATTTTCCATGTATCTGTATTAATTCGTTTAATTCTTCCCCAATTGATTTATGGTCTCTATGTTTTTAGAATCTGTCAGGGCAGTTGCAATACAGGAAAGTGACTTTTTGGGGCTTTTGCCATTTCAAAGAACGTTGGATTTTTCTCTGGGCTCCAGAGACACCCGTGCCTGACATCCCCAATTTGAACCCCCAGCCGATAATTGGTTCCATTGCTGATGGGGAGCTTGTGTTTGAGCCTGACTTTCACTCCATCCATGCTGGAGATAACGGAAGTCTTACCCAGGGGGACAATTGCAGGACGGGGGGAGGGGGAGAGGAGGGCTCCTACGTGTGGGGAATGAGGGTGGAGGCACCGCTGAAACTCGTTCGCCCTTTGAAAAATCTCTTTGGTGGGCTAGCCCCGGGGTCATTGCACTTACCAGGTTGGGGGCTCTGCACCCAGAACTCCTCCCAGCCTCTGTCTGCCCGTCCAAGGTCTAGCGTGACTTCCGGTGGCTCATCTTGGGGAAACCCCCGCTCTGGAGGGGGTCCAGGGTGGCCTGCAGGGGACCTGACTCACCCGCCGGCTGAGTCAGGGGGTCCCAGCTGCCCTCGGATGTCTGCCTCACCGCACCCCTCCGGCAGGCGGGGGGGCGGGAGGAGGGGGGGATTGGGGAAGGCATGGGGGCGGGGCCGGGGCCCGGGCTCCGCCTTCTCCCGGGATCTGCGAACGCGCAGCCAGGCTGCGCGCGGGTGAGTGCCCGCCTGTGCAGGGTATGAAGAGTGAGAACGCGTGTGTGAGCACGAGTGTTTGTGGTCTCTGGCTGTGTCCGTTTACATGATTGCGCCTGTGTCTGTGAGTGCGCATCTGCGTGCAAGCGTGTGTCTTTTTGAGTGAATGTCTGTGTATGACCTCTAGGAACGACCAGGGAAGAGGGGTGTCGCCTCTCACCCTGGCCCCCCTCTCTTGTCTCTCCTCCTTGGAGTGCTCTGGGCATCCGGGACCCCTGGCAGGGATGCCTGGTGCTGGGAGGCACCTGGGACGCAGAGGCCTGGGCTGCGCGCCCTGGCTGGGGAGCTCCGGGTCCCGGCCGCCTGGTCCTTTCATTACGGGCTTTTTGGAGATTCTCGGGGTCTTCCGCCGTGTTTTCTCCTTGCCCTCTTCGCAGGCACGAGGAAGGTCCCTGGGGCTTTTTGGCCCGGAATGCGGGCCCTGCCGTGGCCTCAGGTGGAGCAATTAGGACCACCAAGGAGTGTTCTTCAGACCACTTTCTCCCACCCCGTGGAACACAGGGGTGATTCTGGTCAACCCCCTTCCTCCTCTTCGTTCCCCTGTGGCAAAGTTTTCAGTCTTGGGCTGTGTACCTGAAAGAATATTGTAAGCGGAGATGGGCCCTCGTAGAGCAAGAAGGGTATGGGTTCAGCACCAAACCAAACCGGTGCCAGCGCTGGCTCGGCCCAAGAGTCTGTGCAGACCGTGTCTGTGTGAATGCTTGAGGGTCAGAGTCCCTGTCCGCTGAGCTTCGGCTTCCCCACTTACAACCAAGGGAGAACAACATCTACCTTACAGTGTAGATGCCTGGATAAAAACTGGAGCGCCTGGCCGAGCGCGGTGGCTCACGCCTGTAATCCCAGCATTTTGGGAAGCTGAAGCGGCAGGATGGCTTGAGCCCAGGAGTTCGAGACCAGCCTAGGCAACATAGTTAGACCCCCTTCCTCTACAAAAAAATTTTTAAACAGGTGGTGCGCACCTGTGGTCCCAGCTACATGGGAGGCTGGGGTGGGAGGATCGATTGAGCCAGGGAGGTAGAGGCTGCAGTGAGCTATGATCACACCACTGCACCCTAGCCTGAGCAACAGAGCAAGACTGTCTCAAAAACAAAAACACTGGAGCGCCCAGATTTTAAGTGCGGGGCAGGGATGTCTTGGTGTTGTTAACTACTGCGCGCACACCGCTCGTTGTAATGGATAGATGCATTAGTGAAAGTCCTGGGTATACTCATTTATTTTCTAAATCTGACACATAAGGGAACCCCCGATGGAAAGGCCCATCAGCTGGGGAACAGCCAACAGGCTGGATTTAAGCCCAGAGCCCGGGCTGGCCAATTGCTCGGGCGAGCCTGGCTCCGGATCTGTGACCTGGGTCTAGTACCCCGCCCTTTCTGCGGATGCCTTGCGAAGCGGGGAGCGAAAGCAGTTTGGTGGACGACCAGCCCTGACTTGCTTTGCAGGTGGCGCGGTTGTAAGGGGAGACCTAGGCCAGAGCCAGCTTGCGCACGCCGTCGGGGTCCCGCGGCTGTTCTAGGGCTCGGGGCGCGAACCCCAAGGGCCCCGCCTGGCCACGTCCTGGGCCTCCGGGAGACAACAGCAGGGGTCGGGGAGGATTTGCAGAGTCCTCTCAGCTCTCTGCCGCCCGTGTGCGCTCCGGCGCTTCTCCTGGCTGGGGGTGTGAGAATTTGCCGACGGTGCCCGCTCTGCGGCCGGCCCCGGCCCCGCCCCAGCCCCGGGGACGCCCCGCCCCCAGCCGGCGCCCCGCCCCGCCGGCCCGTAGTCTCGGCCCCGCCCCGGGCCGCGCCCCTCCGCCGAGCCCCGCTCGCCTGCACCTCGCGCGGCGGGCCTGCCCTGCAGCCCCCGCCGGCCCCGCGCCGCTGCCCGGAGGCTGGCGTCCTCCGGTCACTCCGGGACCCGCCCGCTGTGTCCCCTGGGCAACTGTCTCCAGGGAGATTGGGCCCCGCCCCCCGGCACCGACACCCGGTACGGAGCCCACCTGTGCGGGCGTCTGCGGGGTCCGCGTGCCCCGCCCCCAGCTCCCGCCGGGCGTCCCACCCCTCCCAGCCCCGGGCTTTGTCCGCCTGGGGCGGGGTGGGCCGGTTTGGTGGAAGCGTTGGGGGTCCGGGGCCGTGGGGACTGGGGGGGCCGAGGCAGGGGGTTGCGCTCTCGGTGGGATTCTCAGCCGTGGGCCGCGCGACGCTCTCCTTTCCTCTCCTAATCTGGTTGATTCCTTTTGTGCCCCCCAGGGGTCGGGAATCAATCCCAGGTTTCTCGGCTGCCGCCCTTGATGGGATCCGCGGGGCCTCCAGCGGGCTTCGCACGAGGACGCGCCTGTTCGGGGCAGGCTGTTTACTTGTCAGGGACCCAGCAGTGGCTGTGCGCGTCCTCCCCTCCCCCTGCCCCCGATTCGGGACCGAGCCTCCTGCGCTCTGTCCCTCCCGAGCTGTGCCCTTGAACCCAGAGGGGCTAGAGGGTGGTAGACCCAAGCCCCGAGGTCCTGCGGCTTCCCCGGGGGAGCGCCTTCTCCCTGGCCGCCCTCTTGTGGATTTTGTCCTGGCTTCTTATTTCCTGACCCGAATTCCTGAGGACGAATTTTCTCCTTCCCTTCCTTCTCGGCTCCCTCTGCTTTTGGCTTTGTCTTTCTTGTTTTGAAAGGGCTTTCCTTATGATCCTGTCTCGTTTCCCTGTGCCAGAGCTGCTATAATTTGTCGTGGTAACTCGGGTATTGGCCAGTCTCTTAATTGGTCAGCAATGGAAGGGATTTCTTCCTTAGCCTTTGGTGCTGACCTCGCGTTTCTCTGGCGGCAGTGCTTTCGGCAGTGCTTTGGGAAGTGCTTGCCAGCTTTCCTGGATGTTGAGGGAAGGGAGCGTCCGAGCCCACTCGCCTGGGCTCCCGCATGAGGGTCACTGGAGCATCCTTCCAGGGATGGAGGCTGCAGAGAGGACTCCAGCTTGGGCTTGGGAAATGTGTTCCTGCAACACTTGCCTTTTCCAGCGGGTTCGTAGGGCTCTGCTGTTTGTCTTATGGGGAGCGGGTGGTTTTGGTTTTGTGCTAAACCTAAGCCCACTTCATGGGCTCTGGGCTGAAGTCTCCCAGGTGTGGAGTAGCAATGCCCAGCACCTGGAGTTGGGTCTTTAGATTGGTCTGGAGCTCTAGTATCTTTTTTCCCTCTTTGGGGTTCTGTTATTTCCTGGAGCGGCTGAGGTAGGGGAAGAAGCACCACAGATGCAAGGAGTGGGCGGCCCCTCCCCTCACACGCTTCCTTTTTATCTCCAGCCCAATAGGGGATGGATTTTCTTTTAGACCTGGGCCTTGAAAATAGACCCACATGGGGAATAAAGATTTCAAGTTCACCAACCTGCTTTTTGCATCCATTGAATGGAACTCGAACCCAGGCTTGGCTCAGATCAATTACTTTGCTTTCAAAAACCGAACAAAACCAACAAACAGCTCTAAAAACGATCTGAGTCATCTGAGTGCACATTCCTGCTCCAGGCACTGGAAATGCTCCTGTGGTTGGTTTCGGTACCACCAAAGGGAGCTGGGGGTGGTACTGACGCAGATGACAAGAAAGGCCGATCAAGTGGAATGTGATTGGTTTGCAAAAGGGGAGACTGAGATGAAGCATTTGGTTCTGAGCTAACGTCCTGTAAGAGAATGCACAGGTTTCTGAAATTCTCTCTTGTTAAAATAGTTTTCTTTCTTTTTTTTCCCCAACAGATAAAGAGCTCAGACTCAGGCCAGGGCGGGATGACATTTATTGATTCTAAAGCATCTTTAATCTGCCAGACAGAGGGGCCTTTGCTGGTCTGTCTTGGACTATTGGAGAAAGGTAGGTTGGGGGAACGGGCCAAGTGTGTGGGGGAAGGAAAGGAGGTATTAGGACTAGCACGCTCAGAGGAAGAGAGTGACCCACATTGGTGCTAGGAGCCAACGAGTGGGGAAGTGAACCAGACCTCAGCCATTCCCAGGAGACAGATGCTGCTGCCTGGGAAAAGAAGAAATGGCTTTGCTTTGAGAAGTCCGGGAGCCTGATATTAAGTTGCAGCATTTGGTATTTGACTTAATCTGGCCATAGTAGCATTGGGCTGGCTTGATTGGGGAGAGAAATATTAAAAGTTTTCTGGAGGAAGTGGATTGAATTTTTATAGTTCAGTATTGCTTCTCAGGGAGAGCCTAGGTGGGCCATTTTGTGTCTCCAGAGAGTTGGTAGTCACTGTCTCAGTAAGAGGATGCTCTTTGGAGTTTCTAGGACATTAGCTTAGAAGATGAATGCAGTCTTTCATTGTGCAAATGAAGACACTGAGGCCAGAGACCAACACTGGCTGGACGTTGGCCACACACACCCATCTCGGGGCCTGAGATAGCTGGGTCTGGCTTGTGAGCTTCATGACTTCGAGGCCTATCGGTCCCCTTGTAAGCCCTTTGGGTTCATAATGTGTTCTGTGTGTGCCCAGAATTCCGCTGGGGCAGCTACCGTCATTTCAGGATGGAAAGGGGAAAGGGTTCGAGGGTGGTGGCATCTTTAAAGGCTTTGCCCCCAACCTTCGCCTCATTTTCTCTAGATCTTTGATGATACTTTCCAAACTTCTTTGATGATTGCAGATATCTTTTTAAAAATCAAAATATACAGGGGGCGTGGTGGCTCATGCCTGTAATCCCAGCACTTTGGGAGGCTGAAGCGGGCAAGTCACGAGGTCAGGAGTTCAAGACCAGCCTGCCCAACATGTCGAAACCCATCTCTACTAAAAATACAAAAAAAAATTAGCTGGGCGTAGTGGCAGGCACCTGTAATGCTAGTTACTTGGGAAGCTGAGGCAGGAGAATTGCTCGAACCTGGGAGGCAGAGATTGCAGTGAGTTGAGATCGCGCCACTGCACTCCAGCCCGGGTGACAGAGTGAGATTCCATCTCAAAAAAAGAAAAGAAAAAAGAAAAAATCAAAATATAAAGCAGATTTTTAACCTATAAAGCAGATCAAAACAGAGCCGTTGTGGTGGCAATAGAAACTAGCCCAGAACTCCTTCTGCTCAGCACCCTGTCCTACTCCCACCTACCTCTGAAGGCCTCAGGTGTTTCTTGGGAACCCCAGTGCTCCCATGCACAGAAGCAAAAGCCATAGGTCACGTAGACACCCGTTGGGGGATTAGAGTTTCTCCCACACATCTATTTATACTGTCTTGATCTTTGTTTCAGAAAATTGCCTTTTAATAATATTTTTAATCCTCAGGCTTTTTTATTCATAAAAATATGAAATTAATGACAAGTGTGGAAAATACAAAAAAAAAATACAATCACACTCGTCTCTAATCTGACCCGCCCCCACTCTGTGCCAGAGAAAACCACTGTTTCCCTGTTGGACTCTCCTTCCTCAAACCCCCAGAGAGAATTCTGTGTTTGTAGCTTTTATTTATTATTTATTGATTGCTTTTTATTTATTTATTTTTGAGATGGCATCTTGCTCTTGTCACCCAGGCTGGAGTACAGTGATGCAATCTCAGCTCACTGTCACCTCTGCCTCCTGGGTTCAAGCGATTCTCCTGCCTCAGCCTCCCAAGTAGCTGGGACTACAGGCGTGCGCCACCATGCCTAGCTAATGTTTGTATTTTTAGTAGAAATGGTTTCACCATGTTGGCCAGGCTGGTCTTGAACTCCTGACCTCAAGTGATCCACCCACCTCAGCCTCCCAAAGCACTGGGATTATAGGCGTGAGCCGCCGTGCCCTGACCTGTGTCTGTACCTTTTAAAACTTGATTTTTATTTATTAGTAAATATTATAGACTTTGACATAAACATAATGATGGAATGTGTATGTATTTCTCTGCTTTCTTTCAAAATCCCACTAAAATGAAAGTGTAGGAATAAGAAAACATGTATATTCTTGGGAAAAAAAAAAAAAGAAGTCTAGGTGCGGAGGCTCATGCCTGTAATCCCAGCACTTTGGGAGGCCAATGTGGGCGGATCACAAGGTCAGGAGTTCGAGACCAGCCTGGCCAACATGGTGAAACGCCTCTCTACGCAAGATACAAAAATTAGCTGAGTATGGTGGTGGGTGCCTATGATCCCAGCTACTCAGGAGGCAGGAGAATCGCTTGAACCCAGGAGGCAGAGGCTGCAGTGAGCCGTGATCGTGCCACTGCACTCTAGCCTGGGCGACAGGGCGAGACACTGTATCCAAAAAAACAAACAAAAAAAAAAAACACGCAGAAAAGTAAATGATTGAGGAGGGGTAATGTGAACAAAACTTTCGCAGGACAGGAAGCCCATGGGCGAGAGGGAAGCTGATTGGAGAATGTGGACTGTCTTGCGCTATGGGGGAAACAAGTGGAAAAGGCAAAAGAATGGGGCCCTGGGGATGGAGTGCTTCCAGAGGGGCTGTGCAGGGTGGGCTAGAAGCAGGAAGATGACTTGAAAGAGCATGGTAGAGTGACAGACCACACACCCAGGCCACATAGCCAGGTGGCTCCCTTCCCCACCAGCAGGTGGCAGGTTTCCAGCAGGCAGTGTTTCAGAGAGGTTGACCCAGCCCAGGGCCTGGTTATCATCCAGCCTCTGGGCAGGCCCTTGGAGAACTTCTATCTGAGCAAACTGACCTCACGAGAAAAATGACTGTCACATATTGACACGGAGGGGGACTTTGTTGAAAAGCCAGCTTGTTGCCAGGCATGGTGGCTCATGCCTGCAATCCCAGTGCTTTGGGAGGCCAAGCGGGGAGGATCACTTGAGGCCAGAGTTTGAGACCAGCCTGGCCAACATGGCGAAACTCTGTCTCTACTAAAAATACAAAAATAATCTGGGCATGGTGACACGCATCCCAGCTACTCGGGAGGCTGAGGCAAGAGAATCGCTTGAACCTGGGAGGCAGAGGTTGTAGTGAACCAAGATCATGCCACTGCACTTTAGCCTGGGCAACAGAGCGAGACTCCATCTCAAAAAATAAAAGCCAGCTAGAACTGTATGGCTTTGTCACTTCACAGTGAAGCCTACTGAGCAATGAAACCTACCTGTGTACAAGCAGGGTTAGTGCCTCTCCCATAGATTTGAATGGGCATCCAAGGGTCATCCCACATAGAATGAGATTTATAGGTGGGACATGGTGGCTCATGCCTGTAATCCCAGCACTTTGGGAGGCCGAGGGCAGAGGATTGCTTAAGCACAGGAGTTGGAGACCATCCTTAGCAATGTAGGGAAGTCTTCTTTCTGCATAAAGTAAAAAACTAGCCAGGCATGGTGGCACGTGCTGTGGTCCCAGCTACTTGGGAGGCTGAGGAGGGAGGATCACTTGAGCCTGGGAGGTTGAGGCTGCAGTGAGCCAAGATCACACCACTGCACTCTAGTCTGGGTGACAGAGCGAGACCCGGTCTCAAAAAAAAAAAAAAAAAAAAAAAAAAAGACTTCTAGCGTGAAAGACGGAGACCCAAATGAACAGAAAAAAAGAACTGAGAAGTCATAAACATGGTTGTATGGGGAAAAAAAGGCACATTCATGAAATAATAAGCTCTTAGGTATTAAAACTATGATAGCAGAAGTGAAAATTTCAACAGAGGCTGGGCAATGGTGGCTCACGCCTATGGGTGATCACTTGAGGTTGGGAGTTCGAAACCAGCCTGACCAACATGAAGAAACTCCATGTCTACTAAACGTACAAAATTAGCCGGGTGTGGTGGCACATGCCTGTAGTCACAGCTACTCTAGAGGCTGAGGCAGGAGAATCACTTGAATCCGGGAGGTGGAGGTTGCGGTGAGCCAAGGTCTTGCCATTACACTCCAGCCTGGGCAACAAGAGCAAAACTCCGTCTCAAAAAATATCAACAGAAGAGTTGGAAGAGAGAAAAACAAATTTCCAGAAAGTAGAACCCAGAGACTTAAGAGATGGAAAATACGAAAGAAAATATAGGAAAATTTGACTTCAGTCCAGGAGACCCAACATGCACCACATAGGAGCTCGAGAGAAAAAGTCAAGAGAAACGGAGGAAGGAAAAGTTGTAGGAAACAATTCCAGAACTGAAGGCGTTTCTGCTTTTAAACAGCCTCGAAGTATTACCCAGTACCATGAGTAATGAAAGACCCACAGTATAGAACATCACCCTGAACTTTCAAAACTCCAGAGATAGAAATTACTAAGTGTCATCGGAGAGAAAAAGGCCACATACAGATCAGAGGCTGAGATGGCACTGGACTTTTCAAAAGCAACAGTAGGGCCAGGCGTGGTGGCTCATGCCTGTTATCCCAGCACTTTGGGAGACCAAGGGTGGCAGATCACTTGAGGTCAGGAGTTCGAGACCAGCGTGACCAACATGGTGAAACCCCATCTCTACTAAAATACAATAAAAAATTAGCCTGACGTGGTGGCAGGTGCCTGTAATCCCAGCTAGCTACTCAGAGGGCTGAGACAGGAGAATTGCTTCAACCTGGGAGGTGGAAGTTGCAGTTAACTGAGATCGTGCCATTGCACGCCTGCCTGGGCAACAAGAACAAAACTCTGTCTCAAAAAAAAAGCGACAGTAGAAACTACAAGACAATGGGTCAGTGCTTTCAAATTTCTGAGGGAAATTAATTCCAACCCTGAGAATTAATTCTGAGGGAAATTAATTTTATAATTGTCATTCAAATGAAAAGTACATTAAAGACTGTTTTTTTTTTTCTTTTTTTTGAAATAAGGTCTTCCTCTGTTACCCAGACTGGAGTGCAGTGGCGTGATCACAGCTCACTGCAGCCTTGACCTCCTGGGCTCAAGCCATCCTCCCGCCCCCTGAATAGTCGGGACTGCAGGTGTATGCCACCATGCCCAGCTAATTTTTATATTTTTTGTAGAGATAGGGTTTTGCCAAGT